CATTTCTCCTTGACATGACTATCGGAGATTGGACCAGATTGGATGCAACGTAACCCGATTTTTGGTTACTCTAAAATTTATATATTAGTTGCATAAAAGATTACCACAAAATGTTGGTTGGAAATAATTTTTGTGACCAATAAAAATGAATTTTTTTGAACAATTGATTGGTTACATTATATACCTTCCAAACCAAAAATGATTGTGGTGACCATAAAATATTAGTTAGGATAAGAGTTTCACAACCAAAATTTTTGGTTACTTAAGGTTGATTACATTAGTTATAAAGAATAATTTGTAACCAAATTTTTTGGTTTTAAATAATGGTTTTTGTGACTTAATCATTTGGTTGGTAAAAGATATTTTAATTGATTAATTTTTATAATATTTGTGACCAATCAGGTACTTCTTCGTGACCTTTCCGAATGAGTTGTTATAACCAATGAATTTGGTTGCAAAAATATTTATTTTGTGGCCAATTTGTCATTTCGTTACAAAATGGTTATATATTGGGACCAAATCAAAAAAAATTTCAGAATTGGTTTTCCTAACGGCGCGAATGTGACCAAGGGTTCAACCAAATTTGTTTAGTCACAACATAGGTTTTACGACCAAATTTGACATTTAGAGACCATTCACTTTCGTCACAAAAGGCAATTTTTGTTGTAGTGAAGTGAACTGGTTTAAACAATCTGATTTTGGATTTAGCCGAAAAACAGGAATGTATTGCCAGTCGTACATGAAAGTATCATGTGTTGTCCGATGAGAAAGCGAAGTTACTTTCTTTACTTTTATTAAGAGATATGAAATGGGAACATAAAAGTATCACCAAATTGAAGCAGAAGAAAAAAAAGGCTGGTGGTACGAAATAAAATCAATTAATCATCAAGAGAAAGTCCGGTTCCTTGCAACTTGAATTGTGTGAGTTGGTCAATGCGCTCAGCCATCCAAGGAGTCAAGTAGTTCTTCCAGTCCCCCACGGTTCCTTTCCTGAAGAAGTGGGCATTTGGTACTCGGACTAGCTCCAGTACACCATTCTTGTTAACCTCCAACTCCTTGAGCCTACCCAAACTGCTACGCCACAACACTTTCTCCACCACCACCTCATCATCATCACCACCCGCCGTCGACGTCGAGGAAAACGGCTTCCCCATAAACGAAGCGAGCTTCCTGACCTGTTCTTTGGGCTCCCTGCACATATCCTCGTACTTGAGAAACAACACTTTCTCGGGTCGTCTCCGGCTCTCTTCCCAGTATCCCACCACGTGCTCGTAAAAAGGCCCGAAAGGCACAGCCCCGCTGCAGAAGCTCTCCACCGCTCGCTCCAGGGGGAACGACTCAGAACCACCATGGGTGAACAGCTTGTTGTAGAAATGCCACATCGACACCACCGTGTCCTTCGGGTTACGAGCCACGTACACGAACTTGCATCCGGACTCCCTCACCGCCTCCGGTAAGTAATTGTAAGGCAAATGAGTGTGGAGCAATCGAGGAGACGAACAACTGAGCAACATGCGTTGGATTTGGTCTTTGAGGAAAGTGTTTCCGAGGGTGGGAACCACTTCGTGTGGGTTCTTCTCTGCCAGAAGGTCTTCTCCTACTTCTTTGTCGAGGATGTTGTAGCAGACAGCCTTGAGCCAGGTGGTTCCGGTTTTGGTGAAGGATGTCAAGAGAATGTCGTCGTTTCTCGGCTCGAATCCGGACCTGAATGCGGCGGTGCCATCCATTGCCGCAACGAAATACCAGAAGCCATCTATCTGTCCGATCTCGTGTGAGTTCCAAAACAACTCCTTTGGCATATTATTCATCGCAGTCAAAACAAGGCAATAAACACTACTGTACTACAATTTAAAGAGACGAAATACTGCTGTGCTTATTCCACAGCCCTATCAGGCATCAGCGCTATATAGTAGCAAGGGGTCAACTTTAGTGGCGGATCAGGCTTTAGGATGTCCGGGATACCCCTAAAATTTGGGAACAGATTATTCAATCCCTGATAGTAGTTTGCATATAGGTAAAAAAAATATTTAGGTGATAGGGGACACTACTAAAATTTGGAAAAACGATTATAATCCCCTACTAGTAGTTTGTGTATGGGTAATATAACATTTAAGCGGTTGCCTATGTGATTGAACTTGGGTCGATGTTACTGTTAGTAAACATATTTTTCATTAGACTATAACTCATTTGTTCTTGTATTTCAAATCCAATATAATAGTAAAAAGCTATTTTTATCCCAATTATTTTCAAAAGCTAACGATTAAACCCAATTACGGGCTCCCCTAGTTTAGTAGGATATATCGAGAGAGATTTATCGAGCATTGTTAGACACCGATTGTATTTTACAATTTTTTCAAAGTACGAAACCCATCATGTGCTTTGTTGTACTTTGGAAAAATCAAATATTTTCTTATTTAATAAATATTTAATTATTAATTTGACTTAATTTTTAGGAGAGGACACCCCTATATAAAATTTCTGGATCCGACAACTTATAAGTGACCAAATCCTTTGTTATACACGGCCGGTTGACATTGAAGCATTGTGATTGTGAGTCCTTACCCTCAACCAAGATGTCAGTGGTTTCAAAACTTATGTTAAATACCAAGTTGTCATTGGCCATTGTAACAGTGACTTCTTACATTAACTAAGCGGTCAATGGTGTTCCAAAATGTTTGTTATACAGCAGGTTGTTGCTAGCCATTGCGATTGTTAGTTATGATTCTCAACCGAGTGGTCAATGGTTTCAAAAAAACGTTTGTTATACCCCAAGTTGTCATTGACCATTGTGATTAATATGCACTCACCGGAGTGGTTAGTGGTTCCAGAGCGTTTGGCATTACCCCGAGTTGCCATCCTTGTTATACACTCAACCAACCAAGTTGTCACTGACCACGTTTGGTGCGAGGCGGGAATACAAGGACCAAAGATTGGATTGGATATAGTCTGGTTGTGATCCGGTTCGGTCTTGACCCGGTCCGTTCTCAATTTGGTCTTGATTTTAGATTGAACTTGTGGGATTTGAGTGGCTTGAGGTCTCAAAGGGTGAGGAGTTGGTTAAGTTTTGAGTGTTGGGGTCTCTTATCCAGTCTTTATCCGGTTTTTGATCCGGTCCCGAACGATTTTTTACCTCAAATCTAAACCCGAATATGAGATTGGATTGTTGGTTATCCAATCTCGGTCCGGATTATACGATCCGGTTTGGGGTAAAACCAAACAGTTCGGACCAAATAGCCAGCCCTAGTTGTAAGACAGGTTCGAACAACCTGTACTTATAATAGTGTCTTCCCTTCCAAGCTAACCATATTGTTGTTATCAGCTTGAAGCCTGTATTGGAACAATGATCTAAGATGTAGAAACTTTCTCCATAAACAAGACCCCACTTGAATCTCAGAAATCTCCCAAATTGTTCTGCTCTTTGGTCTATCTCTCATAGTCCATGGCCACCCACAAGGATCCACCTTCCATTATCAACATCCATATCATTCTGACTGCACAAGCAATACTCAAGTGTATAGATCTTTCAAGCCAAATTCACCCTCTTCTTTAGGCATTGCTATCAACTCCCATATGACTTTTGTCTTTCCAGTAGTTTCATATCTAATTTTTTGGGAAAAATTAAGGGTAAATGTCAAGTTTGATCACTCGGTTTACTAAAACGTGACATGTTTAATCACTGGAAAAAATTAATATCAATTTTAGTCATGCCATGTAAGCCAAAATGGCCCATTGTCTGATATTGCTTCACTGTGATCCAAAAATGAATCCAAAAATGAAGTACCAACTTTGCAAAGGGCAAGTATGAGCTTGTGATATTGCATGAATTAACTAAGAGTGGATCTTTCAGTTACATCTTACCACATTGTTCATAATCTTACCGTTCTTGACCTCCTTTCTAACAATTCCTCCTCAACTGACTAGATACGAGATGAACTTCGCAAGGAGACCTTGCAGCTTGCAAGTGAGTGGCCTGGATGTCTAACAAGAATTCTCTTCTGACTTCCTAATGAACCAGGGGAATGCTAATAATGTCCATTCATTGATGATCGGGAGAAAATTTGGACAAGGAACTCGCATTGTGGAACTAAGAAATCAAGTGAGACTAGACTCAATTCTCTAATTATGTTTCCTTCTTTTCGGCGTGAGCAGCGGGGAGCAGTTCTGGTGCGGCGGCTTTGCCCAATGTAACGGGTTTGGGCCTTGGGGTTGGGGGGAGAGATTGTTGGCTAGGGTTTACGTTAGAATTGATTAGGGGTAGATGTGTCAATTTAGTGTGGTTTAGGGGATGTTTTTTGAATTTTTGGGCGACGAATAGCGATTTTACATATTTGCGGTTCTTGACTTCTTGTGCAACTTTGGGACCCTTTCGCTTTTCATTTTTAATAAATTTTAATTGGTTTGCATGGAAAAAAAACTTGTCAACATTTATTCTATGTAATACGGTGTCATAATGCGAACTTATTCATTAAAAGGGACTTGAGAGTCGTGCATGCACAATTACATAGACATCAACACACCGTCATCTAACTTCTTCCTTCTGAGAGCACTTCTACTATGCTATATAGTATTGATGCTTTAATGTACAACTTAAAGTTGTACCATAACATTAAATGTATAAGTTTAGGTTGTACCACAAAGTAATTTGTATCATTATGTTATGGTACAACTTTACAACTTGAAGTTGTACCATCACATAAAGGTACAAGTACAAGTTGTACCATAAAAGAATTTGTACAAAAAGTATAGGTACAATCTGAAGTTGTACCATAACTTAAATGTACAATTTTAAGTTGTACCATAAAGGCAAAACCCTGTAGCACCAATACTATATAGCATTGTAAAATTTCTCTCCTTCTGAATCATAAAAAGAAAACTTTTTTCTTCTTCTTTTTGATAAGAAATATGAAATCGTCGGAACCAGAAGACATAAAGACAACACCAAATTGAAGCGAAAAAAGAAAGTAGCAGAAAACCACATCAATTAATTAGTCCAACAATATTTAATCATCAAGAGAAAGCCCACTTCCCTGCAACTTAGACTGTGTGAGCTGGTCAATACGCTGCGCCATCTGTGGAGTCAAGTAATTCTCCCAATCCCCCACGGTTCCTCTCCTGAAGTAGGTGGAATTGAGCATATGGTTCAACTCCCCGACACCACTCTTGTTAACCTCCAGCTCTTTCAACCTATCCAAGCTGCTCCGCCACAACACCTTCTCCACCTCTTCATCTCCGTCGAGAGAAAATGGCTTCCCGAGAAACGAAGCTAGCTTCCTGACTTGCTCCTTCGGCTCTCTGCAGAGCTCCTCGTACTTGAGAAACAACACCTCCTGAGGCCGCCTCCGGCTCTCCTCCCAATATCCCACCACATGCTCGTAAAAGGGCCCGAAAGGCAGGACCCCGCTGCAGAAGCTCTCCACCGCTCCCTCCAGCGGGAACTGCTCGTCGCCCTGTGCGCTCTTGTAGCGCTTGTTGTAGAAATGCCACATCGACACCACCATGTCCTTCGGGTTCCGAGCCAGGTACACGATCCTGCACCCGGACTCCCTCACCGCCTCCGGCAGGTAACTGTAAGGCAGGTGGCTGTGGAGCAGCCGACCGGTGGGAGGGGAACTCAGCAGCATATCTTGGACTCGTTCTTCGAGGAACGTGTTCTCCAGAGTGGGGACCACTTCGTGGGGGTTCTTCCTCGCCAGAAGGTCTTCTTCTGCTTCTCTGTGGAGGATGCTGTAGCAGAGAGCCTTGAGCCACGTCGTCCCTGTTTTGCGGAAGGTTGTCAGGAGGATGTCGTCGCTTCTCGGCTCGAATCGCGACCTGAAGGCGGCCATGCGGTCCACGGCCGGTACCTGGTACCAGTGGCCATCTATCTGGCTGATCTGGTGAGAGTTCCAAAACAACAACTCCGTCGGAGATTGCCGATTGCTCATCGGATTAGGGCAGTAGGAAAAGACGTGTATGGTTTGAGAAAACAAGCTAAGTACATATAGTTTAGTTCTACGGACCTATATATAAAAGGTGACAACTCCCAGGCTCGTTCACGTGCTCTATTTAGTAAAAGAATCTTTTTGGGATCCTTTTTTTGACTGACTTCTTGGAAACCTCAATAATTGCACGAAAAAAATAACAATCGTATATGATCATGGAGTGAAGTAATACTGAGGACAGTGCATACGTGAATCAGCAAAGCGTCGGATTGGTATATATTAATGAGCAAGAACGTTGTGCAAACTGTCAAATATTATTGGCACGGTACGCCAGATTTTAAGTACATGATTTCTGCCACTAATCTCGACATTTAAGCAACATCCTTAACTCCACTGACTTACAAAGTAGCTAAACTAACAACCAACCATTGACCTTCAATCCTATTTCAGAGGCTTGGCCATTACATCAGCTATCTGATCACGTGTTCCATAGTGTTCTAGCTCAATAACTCCTCCTTTGGCAAGATCCCTCAAGAAATGAAAACACACATCGATATGATAACTCATCCCATATGCATCACATGGTTCTTAGGCAGTTTAATTGTTCATATATTATCACACATGATATGAGTAGTCCCTTCTACACATTGCTTCTAGTCCATTTGATCAAGAATCCTGCAAAGCCGAATCGACACTGAGTTGCAAAATATGAAGCATCCACAAATTTCTGCTTCTGTAGTTGAAAAAGTCACTATTGGTTGCTTTTTTGGCGATCATAAGATGGCTCCTCTGGCTCCTCTAGCAAGAAAGAAAATATAACCGCTTGTACTCTTCATGTCATCAGATTCCCCAGCGTAATCAAGGTCTGTGTACCCATACCAGATGTCATAGCCGGTGGCGGATACAGGGGGTGGCCACCCCGGGCCCCGGCCCAGCGCTCCTCTGGATCCATAGTTAGTATAGGTCTTATGAATTATTCGATTTAGGTATTTGGCCCAATGTTATTTTATAATAAAATTGAATATAATTAGCAATTGATTTAGATAAACATATTCAAATCACTACTCTAAATTTAGCCTAGAGAAATTCTAGCCCCAAAGATTTTTTTGTCTAAAATAACAATGAAACCTAAAATTTTAAAACATAATAGGCTAAAAGAAATATGAGGTTTGTTACCTTGAAAATTGACTAGACAACTGGTGGTATAGGGATGGACACATAACGCAAATTGATATTTATTTGTCTAGTGTTGACGCTGCTCGTTTCAACAACTACTACAGAGAGAACCTGAGAGAACCTTTTGAACAAAGAAACATGTAAAACTAATTTGCACAATAAATGAGCGATGAATTTCTTGCCAATTGCTCAAGTATTTTATTTGGGACAGTGTATACTATTGGTATGGATATGGACTACATTATTGATGCATTTGCTAAATTAAGATACCCTCGTGTACAATTTACAGTGTAAAAAAACTATAATCATTAATTTTTTATAGTTCTAGTTTTCTAATAAAATGCGGCCCAGTGTTCTTCTGTGTTCTGGATCCGCCGCTGGTCATAGCTCATAATTCCTTTAAGATACCTTAACACCCTCTTTGCAGCCAACATTTGTTGTCGAGTAGGAGCCTCCATGAACCTCGCTCCATGGATGCTTTTTTCCCCGGCCCAATCGTCTATCAACCTATACACTTTTTCTTCCTAGCGAGTTTTGAGGTGAATGCCATTTTTTATTCATCAAATTTGGGAGAGTTGGATGTGTACGTGTTAAGTTATGAAAACCTTCTTCACCGTAGCCGTACTAAAATAAAATTAATTTAGTAATATATTTTTAAAGTTGACGACAAATAGTAAAAGACTTAACCACAAAGAACATATGTCTTTTTCAAATCTGTACTAATTCATTGAGTTGTCGTATTTACATTTCCTCCCTGTTAATCAAAATTTAGCCCCATGCACTTATAATAAAAACAAAGGTAATGACTATTTATTAGTAAAGTATTTTTCAGATTTTTTTTATTAGTCAAACTTATTGAATTACTAATAGTTAGTCAAATGTTAACATCTAGTTATCAATTTTGTTAGTAATATTGACTTGACAATATGATACTGACTTAGAAGAGATACATGGCAATAAGACAATTCTACAACCAGAAGGCTTCTTGAAGATCAACGTTGACGCAGCTGTTAGTGCCTTCGGGTGTTCGTCTGGGCTTGTAATCCGTGGGTCAGACGGGCATGTGATGTTGGCGTTCGGGTTGCAGCATCAAGGAATAGTCAACCCTTATCTGGCTGAGCTTCTCGCTATCAGGGATGCCATTTCCTTTGTAGCCTCAAGATCCTTGACTCACGTGATAGTCGAAGGTGATTCCGAAGTGGTTGTCAACCAAATCCGTCAAGGCGTTTCAGAAGATTCGATTGGTGGTCCGGTGTTACGAGAGTGTCTTCAGATCCTTAGCTCTTTGTCTATTTGTATAGAGTTTAGGGCGGTACCTAGAACCGCCAACAGTGCTGCCCATAGAGTGGCGCGTAAAGCACGGCTTTTGTCTCTAGTAGAGCTAGAATCTTTTGATTTCTTGGGGGTGGCTTCTTTAGAATCTTTTAGGGGTCCTGGGTAGAATTGTAAGCTTAACTATTATTTCCCATTGATATCACTCAGAAATAAAAAAAAACATTCAAAAAATTTAGTATTTCAACTAAGAAAAGAGTTACATAATTATTAACGATAATGTAAAAATGGTTAATACTTTGACGTGTTACAAAATGTTTGGTTAATTCTTAGTATTTCAATAGATTTGACTGAAAAGAATATGAAAAATGTTTAGATAATAAATAGACATTACCCTAAAAACAACGAAGAAACTCCACAACATGAATTTTTTTTTTTATCATGAATGTAGTAATCTAGCTAGTTGTATTAAGTAAATGCAAAGGTTGCATTTATGATTGGCCTACCTGGGCTGCTGATTATCAAGATCAAGATACAGAGTATTTAATTATGTCAAGGTCAACGCTTGGAAATGTGTGTAAATTCACATTTGGAAATATTTGCATTTAAAGCTTTCACATAAAAAATCTGGAGTTACACACAAAACAAGGTTTACATATATTATGATGTATATTGGCAAGTATAAACTCTGAGATTGAAGTAGAAAGATAAAATATAGACGAGCCACGACTGACAGAGAAATCTATATGTCAATCCAATATCCATGTTGCTTGCTAGACGGGGGCAACACTAAACTGAAACGAAAAAGTATTAAAAAACGCATCAACTAATTTAGCAATTAATCATCGAGAGAAAGTCCAGTCCCCTGCAACTTGGACTGCGTGAGCTGGTCAATGCGCTGAGCCATTTGTGGAGTCAAGTAATTCTCCCAATCTCGTACCGTTCCTCTCCTGAAGAAGGTGGAATTGAGCACATGGTTCAGCTCCCCGACGCCACTCTTGTTAACCTCCAACTTCTTGAGCCTGTCCAGGCTGCTCCGCCACAGTACCTTTTCCAGCTCACCATCTCCATCCAGCTGGGAAAATGGCTTCCCGAGAAACAAAGCTAGCTTCCTGACCTGCTCCTTCGGCTTTCTGCATAGCTCCTCGTACTTGAGAAACAACACCTGCTGAGGCCGCCTCCGGCTCTCCTCCCAAAATCCCACCACATGCTTGTAAAAGGGCCCGAAAGGCAGAACCCCACTACAGAAGCTCTCCACCGCTCCCTCCAACGGGTACGGCTCGTCACCCGGTCCACTTTTCAACACCTTGTTGTAGAAATGCCACATCGACACCACCGTGTCTTTGGGATTCCGAGCCAGGTACACGATCTTGCATCCGGACTCCCTCACCGCCTCCGGCAGGTAACTGTAGGGCAGGTGCGTGTGGAGCAGCTGGGGAGGAGGGGAACTGAGCAGGATGTCTTGTGTTCGATCCTCGAGGAAAGTGGTGTCGAGGGTGGGAACCACCTCGTGGGGGTTCTTCTTTGCCAGAAGGTCCTGTTCTTCTGCTTCTTTGTCGAGGATGTTGTAACAGAGAGCCTTGAGCCATGTCGTCCCTGTTTTGCGGAACGTCGTCAAGAGGATGTCGTCGCTTCTCGGCTCGAATCGTGACCGAAAGGCGGCCATGCGGTCCGCAAGCGGCACCTGGTACCAAAAGCCATCCATCTGGCGGATCTGGTGAGAGCTCCAAAACAACAACTCCGTCGGAGGTTGCTGATTGCTCATCAGATAGAAACAAGTAATATACTTGCGCTACTGCCCAATAATTCCACCAGCTGTGGGATGTTGCAATATATACTTGCAATATACAGAAGGTGACAACTCTACCACCAGGCTCGTTACCGTGCTCTATTTAACAAACTAATCTTATTTCTTACAATTATTTGAATGAAGAAGTTTGATTGTTTTTTTTATTTTATATTTTTACGATTTGGAATTGGATTACTAATTCACATTGGATGATGTATGTATTGATGTTATTTTTTATAATTATTATCTTATGTTAACAATTAGTTAAATTATTTTGACTTAGTTTGAATGATTATATTTTACTATTAAGAGAAAAAAAAGTGATGAGTGGAGGTTGTTGGGGGGTTAATGGTTAATTGTCATGCTAATCGCTAACCAAATCGATAATAAACACTTAACTCATAAGGTTTTATTTATTCGGTTATCAAGAAGTAATTTTGTCTATTAGCTAACCAGTAACCATCAAATCAGTTAGCCCTAATTGAAATAAAATTGATTAGCACCCTAATCTACAAATATATTATAGCCGAATTGGGGCAGTTTTTCAGTATTTCAAATTTCTTGCAACGAGAGCGAAAGTAGAAAGGTTAATTATGTCTTTACAGTCATTATTTATTTTTTATTCATAGAAAAAAAATTCCTGCAACGAGAGCGAAAGTAGAAAGGGTAATTATGTCTTTACAGTCATTATTTATTTTTTATTCATAGAAAAAAATACGTCAATCTCAGGATTCGAACCATGGTCTTTCTAAACTAAGACAACAACCATCACCAATTACGCTAAAAAAAACTTTTGTATCCTTTTAAGTAAAAAATATGAAAACCTGAAATCTAAAAATCATACGACTTTTCCACTACTGTTAGCTAGCCCACTAACTTTTTTTGTTATTTGATATTTTAATTTTCATATTTTGATTATTTGAATTTGAGTTTAATAATAAATTTAATTTATGTCTATCTTATAAATAGAGGATAATTTTAAAATTGAAACCCAAATATTATTGATTCGAATATTACATATTCAATTGCAGTATTGAATGTGTAAATGTGATGTAGAATTCTTAACTTGGTATTGATTTTTAGAATTATTAAAGCAACGATATTTTTATGCAAACTGTAAGTGACCCGCTTTTTTAAAATTTTAGTTTGGTTTACTATTAAATCCTCGCTCTCTTGATAATATGGCATGATTGGACAAATAGGTGAGTTTAAAAGAACACAATTTCTGAATACCAATTTTTCTAGATGATTTCAATTAGTTAAATATTTTATCTTATATGATAATTGACTATATGTATCATTTATAGTTAATTAGTTTAATATAAAATAATTGCAATACAAGACAAATCATGAAAGTCGAGCTGGAGTTTTATTGGATGCATTGATGTGGTCATGTGCATTAGCAAGGTAGGTACCACAAGATAGGTTTAATTTTTTTTTGTTGAGTGAATAAGATTGTACTTCAACTAAATTTAGAGTATGTTGGTTGATAAATAATTTTTTCATAGCATAAGTATGGATGGAAAATGTTATTTTCTTACTAATTTTGTTATTGTATTGTGCATAATACTTTAAGGTTTAGATATTATTATATATGTATTGTTTCTCAAGCATTAGAAATAAATATTGAATAAAGGTTATGATCACAAGTTTCCTATTTATGCTACGCTTTTTTAGACAAACTCTTTTTTTGTTATGTCAATTTTCTTTTCAGAGTGACTACATCATTAAATTGACAAGTTATGAATGGTTATTCACGAGTGTTATAACCAAGGTTGTTACACCTCTACTGAGAGGCTGGTTGGACTAGATCCGACCAAAATCGTGTTCCAAAACTGGCTCTACAAAACCAAGTGTCTGATCGTTAGAGAGGGATAATAAGAGAGAGGGAAGGGGGAGGGGGAGAGAGGCAAGAGGATGGTGGGTGGATCTTGAAATAAGTATGTTTTCTTATGGAATTTGAGTTTTTAATAGATATAAGTTATTACATTTCATTTCAGTCACTAAATTTCTATTTTGTATGTAAATATATTTAGAAAATGCGTAAAACGGCTCAGACAAGTTGTACCTCAATCAAATCATTAAACTTCAAACTACTTGCTTGATCGGCTCGACAACTTGAACGGGGTTGACAACTTTGGTTATAGCAATTAATCTTACAATGTTCATCATTGATGAAAAGTTATAAGAATGTCAAAAATGGAAAATTAATTTTGATGTCACCTAAATGTCATACGAAATTCAGCATTTAAAGTAATTTATAATTTTTATATAAACATCATACATACATTGTATTTAATGACATTCCGCCCAACAGGTCGGACAACAAGCTAGTACTAGTACAGGGTCAACTTATTATGTTAACTCATAAAAGCATAGTTAGTAAAATATGGTACAGAAAAGTTATGTATAAAATACGTGCGGGTATTTTACGTCGTCTATAAGCTAATTTTACGTTTAATAGTACGTTAATATTCATAAAAATATAAAATAAATTATTTTAAAAATAAATAAATATATAAATAATAGGAAGGCTAACAATATAATTCATTAAATACGGATATTAAATGTGTTATACGGTTTTATACGTGTTTAGTAAGGGAGTCACTAAATGAACGGGGAAAAATTAAACAGTTTGACAATAATACGGATACAAAAGTTTTAATCGGATAAAATATGTACGGGTACATATATGTATATTAAACAGAGTATTTACTAATAATAAAGTATAACTATATATTAATCGCTTTTGTTTTGTTCCTCATGGTCTGCCAAAACATTTGCTACACACAGTTGACATTGGAGCATTGTGACTATAATTTGTGAGTTTTTATTGTCAACCAATAGGTCAATGGTTTCAAAAGGTTTGTTATACACCAAGCTGCCATTGATCATTGTGATAGTGACTTTTACATCAACCTGTGCCTAGCGCTCTAACGGATTTGAGAGCTAGGGCCGCACGATCGAGAATAAGGTCGTGACAGTACCCGCCCACACATATAATTACCTTCCCGGTATATTTAATATTCTAAATAATATATCTTCTTTAAACAACTAATATTATTTATGTTTGTGGAGATATGTATAATTTGTTCTTTTTAATTGTTTAGAATGAAGTTGATATTATGGAGTGGATAGTGAAGAAACTTATTTGACGAGGAAGAAGATTTCAATTAATCTTGTTGTTTATAGATGTTTATCTTTAATTTTGAACAATTTGTATTGATCATTTGTGGTTTGCTTGTATGTTCTAGATTGGTGTTTTTTGTATGGATAATTTGTATGAGATAATTGATGTTAAACTTTTATTTTGAAAGAAATTTGTTATTGTAAATTTTTTACCACAAAAACCCACGGATACCCATGAACCCGCGGATACCCAGCAGGTTGGGTTGGGTTGGGTTTGAGTTTTTCAAACCTAGCGGGTTTTACCCGGGTTTTTTGACAGATAAATCAATGAATTTGGGTTTGACAAAACCCGCCCCAACCCGACCATTGCCATCCCTACAATCAACTAAACAATGGTTTGGGGGAAAGATAAAATCTCGGAGAGGCAGGAGATGGGAGAACCTCCTTCGCCCAAAAAACAAAAGACGGAAGATCGACCTGATCATCATGACGAGCAGGTGGAGGTTGGTGCGGCAGATCCGCCGCCATCGTCATCTTTTTCTTCTAGTGTGAGTCCGGCGCCGGTGGTATCTCCGGAGAGGAACCTGCTGGATTCAGGAGCACCTGATCAAGAGGTGGCTGTGGGAGATGAGTCGTTCGAGGAACCGTCTAGTCCTATGTCCTGGTTGGGACTAGATCCTGAGAGCCCATGGCACGAGATAGTTATGAAGTCGATGAATACTGATTTTGGGTGAGTGTATTAATTTGCGCTGTTTGTTTGTTGTTCAATTTTTGGTGATGGTGTTATGCTGGAATTAATTCATGTATCTGTATGTGTTAAGTTGGAATAGTTAGTCGTGGGTTCGATTAGTGGGAGTGAGCTATGTATGCTTCATTGGATATGACTTTACGATCATGATCTCACTCAGTCGTCATATTGATTGTAGTTCTTCTTCGGAAGACGAGGACGGAGATCTAAAGCCCGAGGAGGAAGAAAGGATGAAAAGGGACACTCTAGGCCTTGCTGATATAGCTATAGAATACTACAACAAGACGGAAGTATGTTGTTTTGCTTTTTGTGTGTTCTCAATCATCACAGAGCTTGTTCAATTCCCTGTGTTCCCAGTCTATGGATCGAATTGCTTACTTATATCTATTATTGTTTGTTTGATGATGAACAGTGCGTGAGTTATGTGTTTGACAAGCCCTTTCTTTGCCGTTGCATTCTCTTTGAGCTTGTGATGGTTTTCCATTTCAACTTCACCGCCAAGGAAGGGAACAACCCTTCCAGTCCGTTGTTTTTTGCTGAGGCCATCAGATTCTACGGGGGAGATTTCAACATTCTCAAATGTGTCAAGTTGGATACTTCTACTGGAGACAGTAGTAAGTAGTGTAGTTATTTGTGTATTGTTGATTCAATCAAATTGCTTATAGATGGATGGTTAGATATCTCAAGTTGTTAATGATGATGCTCTTATTACTTTGCTTTCTGCAGATGGTGTCCGCAATGGTTGCATCTATTGCCGTAAAGAAATTAAACATCCTCCTGTGGGAATATGCGAGTTTGGTGTGAACGAGATTGATGATTACAAAAACTTAGAAAGACAAATGAAAGCAAACACCAGTCCATGACCAAGGAAGAAGCTGACTGACTGCCACCATTACCTCTCCTTCCCATACCCCAGATGCCGACCGACCTGCTCAACTAGTAAATTTCTTTCCCTTGTTGTTAGCTGCGTACCAAACTTGGTTTAACTTATATACTCTATGCAAATCTGTCCAGACAAGTATGTTATTTAATATGTGTTGCTGCTGCTATTAGAAACCGTAGTCGTCGTTCGGTTTGAGCGAGCAATGCTCTTTCCAAGTCTGCGATCCATCATGTATTTTGGTTTCTGAAACTTATGCTCAGTATTCTAACTATCAGTCAGTTGTATGTTTAATTTATTGTTCATAACAAAATCCTCCCCCTGTCCGGCTTTATCTCAGTCTGTTGAGGATATTAATTACTTAGTCAACAAGTAATTAATTTCTTGTCCTTCAAGTCCCTTGTTTTCTTGTCCTTTTCAAAGAAGGAAACTTGGTTGTCGTTAGGGTTTTAACCCTAATCTATCTCTATATAAGACATCAAGATGTAGTCGTATAATAAAACATCAGTCGTGAGCTCGTTCCGAGCTCACCGTGGATTAGTCTCGATCAATCAAGATCGAGGATACCACGTAAAATCTCGTGTGTTCGTGTGTTGTTCCAATTCCACATCATCAAATTCTACATGGTATCAGAGCAAAACTCGATCCTTTGATAGGGTTTTGAGCTTCCGCAAGTTTTTTGCCTTTTGTCTCGTCGTCTTCGTCAATCAGCAGCCACGGTGAAAGAAGTTGTTGGCTACACCTCCGACTCCAACATCAGGTCGCCGTTGTTGCCCAGTCGTGGTCGTTCGTGGTCTCTCTCTAAAGGTCGTCGTCGCATCCCGTCATAGTCGCTGATTTCAGTCGGATTCAGTTTTGTCCGCCTCGATCTTCTCATCAACACCCGTCAAGGTCGTCTTCAATGGCCTCAACTCGCCGCCGTTCCACTTATCATCACCATTCTAACTTTCAAGCTGTGCATTCACATCGTTCATGCGTCACCTTGAGGGGGAGAATAGGGAGTCAAGTCGTTCAGGAGATGCAGTCAACCATCTCCATCATCGTTCAGGAGATGCAGTCAACCATCTCCACCATATCATATGGATAGATGTAGTCAACCGTCTCCGTCAAGTCATTCAAGAGACGCAGTCAACCGTCTCCGTCAGGTCGTTCAAGAGATGCAATCAACCGTCTCGTCACGACGTTCAAGAAGATGCAGTCAACCATCTTCATTAGGTTGCTCAAGGGAGAGAGTCAGTCGTCTCCAAATCAGCCTTGTCCGAGATGTTGTTCATCTCGAGTTTTGTTGTTCAAGCTTGTCATGCTTGTTCGTCACATTTCCTTTTTCAAGCTCGACATTCTTGTCATTCATGTCTTCGCTTGAGGGGGAGTATTGAGGATATTAATTATTTAGTCAAAAATAATTAATTCATTGTCCTCCAAGTCCCTTGTTTCCTTGTCCTTGTCAAAGAAGAAAACTTGGTTGTTATTAGGGTTTTAACCCTATGTCTAGCTCTATATAAGCTTAGCTACGAGATTGTCGTAAGCAAGCCGTCAAGATGTAATCCTAATAAGAGATCAGTCGTGAGCTCTTATGAGCTCACCGTGGATTAGTCTCGATCAATCAATCGATCGAGGATACCACGTAAAATCGTTGTCTCCCGTGTTATTTTCAATTCCGCATCATCAAATTCTACATGGTATCAGAGCCTGGTTTGTCCTTGAGGTCACGTGTTCAAGTCCTCGCGACCCCCAATATTAACCGTTGTCTTTCAAGCACATGGTATGGCGGGCCTGTGCAAACTTCAAGCCCATGAGTCGGCTTTCGTTTGAGGGGGCGTGTAAGGAAGTGGTTAAGCACCATACACGGGCCTGTATAAGATCCAACATAACCTTCTCCCAACAACTCGAGTTATTGGGACCAACTGGTTAATGACATGGTATCACACCTCTCTTCTCTTGTACGCCAATTTATGTTGCAGTTCGTTCGTTCACAAAAAAGTTTGAGGCTGGCAGACTACGATAAACGGCATGGTTCCATTGCTGCACCTCATTTACAGTTATGTATCTGCGCACGCTTTTTTGGAACTGCCATTTAAAAATAAAGAGGTTTTTTTATTGTTCTCGTTGGATGTGAAAGACATCTATTGTTTAAAAAAATCGTTCAGTACTATTCATTATCTATGTATTTACTCTCTAAACCATCTTGCTTCATAAGAAATAAAAGAACGTCTACTTAAGGTTTCTCTTTCTATTTCTGTCTTTTTTGGTGATACTAGATTTCTACATGGAATAAAATAGATCAAAAAGGTTAAGAACTTAAACCCTTTTTATGCTAATAAAACACTTTACTAATTATGCTAATAAAACACTTTACTAATTTTTTTTTCGGGAAATTGGTCAAGTTGGTAGAAAGGGTATATTTAATTGAATTTTTTTTAATTCCAATAACAGGATCCCTAATGTTGATACCACATACATGGCCTTCATCTTTGATGTCTCGGACTCTCGGGGGCAACGTATTTGTGACTGCCAAGGGATGATATTGATCTGGCTTCGGTTGCAGTGGCAGTGGCAGCATTTCAAAGCACCATTGTCCTCTTTTCGTAACTTGAATATATAAGTATCTAATAAAAGAATTATTTAATAAAAAATAATTATTTAATAAAAAATAATTATATCTAAATAATTCATTCATAAATTAAAAATAACCGATTATACTATCAAAACTAGTGGGATTGCCGTTGTCGCTAGACAATTTCAGGGTTGTTGGGGAAAGATCGAATAGGCATAAGGAGAAAAGAGACCCGATTAGTTCTTTATTGCAATTGGAATTTCGTTTATTGTATAATAAATTAATTTTATGTCAAGTTTGGACAAGTAATGAGTTGTGTTTTAGTGACAAAGTACTCTAATACTATCTATGCGTGTTGTGTTTCATCACCAATATAAATATATATGGCGTATTTTTGTTCCACCGAAATTTACCCCTGTCCCAGGACAAGGTCAAAAGGCCCTGCCTCCGCTACTGTTCGGTTGGCTCTGCTACCAGCTCGGGCAGCTTCATTTTTGGTTGATCTTCTTTCTGGACTCTGTATAACAGAGTCTGTTTGCAACTTGGGTACTGAGGTTTATTCATCTTCCTTATGTGTACAATTAAGCTTTCTTCTTGACAAGTTGCAAGTGTTAGAGATGTGGCATTTTCACGAGCTACTTCCACAATGCTTTTCATGATCGGTGAGACATAAAGAGAGTAAAATTTTCTAATAGAATGGGTGTAACGAAATTTTGTAGTTGTAGATGATTATAAGTTTGGAAGTTGAGAGTCTATAAATATGTGTAATCTTGCAATGTATGTATTCTAAATGTAGTGATTGTAAGAACTAGATGATTGTAAGAATATGTTGTTTGATAGTTGAGATTCTCACTTTTAAAGAATATAAGGATTCTCACTTTAATGACCAAAATGATTTATATAACCTTAAAGTTATGTTTATATAGCCAATTAAAGAAGGGGCAAATATGAAATATGTAAAAAATAATAAGGATAAGAGGTGCAAAAAAGCAATTACAAATGTAAAGCATGAGAATCTCACCTTTTTGTAGAGATTCTAAAATGAATGATTCTAGCCATTTGAGAGTCTAAAGTACCAATCAAATGCATGCATTCTGGATAAGTTTATGTCAAAAGAATGATACATTGTAAAGAATATACACATTCACAGAATCACTCATTTAGACTCCTAACTTCCAAACAAAGTATTACGCACAATACAATAACAAAATTAGTAAGAAAATAACATTTTCCATCCATACTCTATGCAACGAAAAAATTATTTATCAACCAACACACTCTTAATTTAGTTGAAGTACAATCTTATTCACTCAACAAAAAAAATTAAACCTATCTTGTGGTACCTACCTTGCTAATGCACATGACCACATCAATGCATCCATGAAAACTCCAGCTCAACTTTCATGATTTGTCTTGTATTGCAGTTATTTTCTATTAAACTAATTAACAATGAATGATACATATAGTCAATTATCATATAAGATAAAATATTTAAATAATTGAAATCATCTAGAAAAATTGGTATTCAGAAATTGTGTTCAATCATGCCATATTATCAAGAGAGTGAGGATTTAACAGTAAACCAAACTAAAATTTTAAAAAAGCGGGTCAATTATAGTTTGCATAACAATATCGTTGCTTTAATAGTTCTAAAAATCAATACCAAGTTAAGAATTCTACATCACATTTACACATTTAATACTGCAATTGAATATGTAATATTCGAATCAATAATATTTGGGTTTCAATTTTAAAATTATCCTCTATTTATAAGATAGACATAAATTAAATTTATTATTAAACTCAAATTCATATAATCAAAATATGAAAATTAAAATATCAAATAACAAAGAAAGTACTTACGGGAAAGTTAGTGGGCTAGCTAACAGTAGTGGAAAAGTCGTATGATTTTTAGATATAGGTACATACGTAGAACTAAACTATATGTACGTACTTAGCTTGTTTTCTCAAACCATACACGTCTTTTCCTACTGCCCTAATCCGATGAGCAATCGGCAATCTTCGACCGAGTCTTTGTTTTGGAACTCTCACCAGATCCGCCAGATAGATGACCACTGGTACCAGGTGCCGACCGTGGACCGCATGGCCGCCTTCAGGTCGCGATTCAAGCCGAGAAGCGACGACATCCTCCTGACAACCTTCCGCAAAACAGGGACGACGTGGCTCAAGGCTCTCTGCTACAACATCCTCAACAGAGAAGCAGAAGAAGACCTTCTGGCGAAGAAGAACCCCCACAAAGTGGTCCCCACTCTGGAGAACACGTTCCTCGAAGAACGATTCCAAGATATGTTGCTGAGTTCTCCTCCCACCGGCCGGCTGCTCCACAGTCACCTGCCTTACAGTTACCTGCCGGAGGCGAGAGGGAGTCCGGGTGCAGGATCGTGTACCTGGCTTGGAATCCGAAGGACACGGTGGTGTCGATGTGGCATTTCTACAACAAGCGCTACAAGAGCGGACCGGGCGACGAGCAGTTCCCGCTGGAGGGAGTGGTATAGAGCTTCTGTAGTGGGGTCCTGCCTTTCGGGCCCTTTTACGAGCATGTGGTGGGATATTGGGAGGAGAGCAGGAGACGCCCTCAGGAGGTGTTGTTTCTCAAGTACAAGGAGCTCTACAGAGAGCCGAAGGAGCAGGCCAGGAAGCTAGCTTCGTTTCTCGGGAAGCCATTTTCTCTCGACGGAGATGAAGAGGTGGAGAAAGTGTTGTGGCGAAGCAGCTTGGATAGGTTGAAAGAGCTGGAGGTTAACACGAGTGGTGTCGGGGAGTTGAACCATGTGCTCAATTCCACCTTCTTTAGGAGAGGAACCGTACGAGATTGGGAGAACTACTTGACTCCAGAGATGGCGCAGCGTATTGACCATCTCACACAGTCTAAGTTGCAGGGGACTGGGCTTACTGTTGATGATTAATTGTTGGACTAATTAGTTGATGTGATTTCCTACTACTTTCTTTTTTCGCTTCAATTTGGTGTTGTCTTTGTGTCTTCTGGTTCCAACGATTTCATAATTCTCATCAAAAAGAGGAAGAAAAATGTTTTCTTCTTTTTTATGATTCAGAAGGAAGAAGGTAGATGACGGTGTGTTGATGTCTATATAATAGTACTAGCTTTCTTCCCGGCCGATGGCCGGGGCAACTTTTATGTTTATCATAAATTAATTTGATATTTAAAATATTTTGTTTAATGTAATTAATTTTAATTATAAATTTGTGTTTCTAGTATGAAACTCACTTTAAATTCATCAAATTATTTCTCCAATATCAATTTTATAGATAAAGTGAAAAGATGAAAAGTGTTATAAAGTTTAATACTTATGATAATACTAATATTATATTAAACTTGTTATTAATATCATCAAGTATTTTATAAGAATTGTGATTAATGTAGTAAAATAGAGAAAAGAGATCATATAACTAAGGAGCGGCTTATCATTGGATTCATTCATTTAACCCTGTCAAATATCAATTCGGTTCATTTTGTAATATTTATAATTATAATTTTAATACGATTAAGAATGCGACCACAATATGTTCCATCTGGTAATTGAAGCCCAGACTACATCCCTAGGAGTGGAGATTGACATCCCAGAGCAGATTATTCCCATATTTATGAGTATGACTGCTTTGATTTCTGTTTTCCTCTCTCTCTCTCTCTCTCTCTCTCTCTGGAGTAGAGCTTTGTCTCACTTGGGTATAAAGAACCCTAGTTCCATGTGTTAGGACAACCTATAATGATGACTGAGACATGCAATAGAGTTGTGTAGGGGTTCAGTTTTTCAACTATTTGCTTACCAACTGTGACTTGGATTGATCACTTACTTTCTACAGTCGTTTATGCATCGAGTTCAGCGAATCAGAATGAAAGATAGAGCATATAGGTAGCCATGTGAGATTTAAGTATGCTCGTTTCTTTCTTGTGCGATAGATCCCTCTTCCATGATGTGTAGCATTCACGTTGTCATTAATTAGGATGATGGAGGCATATGATTAGCCCACGACCAAATTGACTGTCCTGGTACCATACCCCTAGTCAGCCCCTTTGAGCCGTGTAACTTTCCTTATTTCGGTCTACAATGAAAAATCACCCTTTTTGCACCTCTTAGAGGTTCCACATAGTGGTTTTTGCATGTTCTCTGCTGTTTCTGCTAGAAATAATGTGAGGGTTGGAGGTAGTTCTTAAAAGTTGGGCAAGTGTTTGAAAATATGTGCAAAGGTGGTGGTTCTCTCAAGAAATGAAAAAAAGAAGAAAGAAAAAAAAAATAAAAATGAAAGCAAAAGAGAGCCACCATAAAAATCGGAATCATGCCCATTAAGTAGTGTTTCTTAGCGGCCTGGCTTAGAAATACTAACATCATTTTGACCTCCTTCACTCTTATGCTCTAAAGAACTTGATTAATGCAGAATGACAGAAAGAAAGTAAATGGTTTGACTGATTGTAATTATGTTGGTTTTGGAACTGTGGAACATTGTGTTATGAATTCTTCCACCACCTAAAAGGCTTTTTCCCCATGTCCAAGACCCTAGCAAGTCATATAAACCCGTGTCTAAGACCTACTGACTAGTTAGTGGCGACATCCGATATGTGAACTCTAGCATTTAGAGGCTGCCGTCATGGTGAAGAGACGTTAGGGATTGAGAGAATAATCATGCGCATTTTTTGCATCAAATTGTCCTGACCCCACTAGTCGAGAGTGAGCGATTCATTTCCTTATATTCTTTATATTCTTTACCCCGGTTAGGACCTATATTGCTCGATCTTGATTCTGATGTCTTGAGTTTTATGCAAGAGGTGACTATTTTGAATAAGTGGTTGAGGCAAGTCTATGTTGGTTGGTGAACAGAAGGGAGACTCTTCCTTTACCCGATTTTGCTGAACTCGAATGTCATCTGTGGTGGTTGTCTTGGTTGTCGTTGAGGTTGTTCATGAGTTGATGTCTAAACGCCAGTATGATTCACGCGTTTTGTGCCTATATGATATGTCCCCAAAGTCTGCATGGTTAAAATGTTTTGAGCTTACCTTGTGTCTGACTTGGTTTGCTTGGGGACAAGCAAACGGTTAAGTGTAGGGGAATTTGATAGCACCACATTTGCACATGTTTTCCCCTTCATTTCTTGATCATTTAGCTTAGTGATTGATTATTCTTTGGCCTATTTTATACTAGGTTGTGTTCTTTTGTCATATTTCAGGTCCTAGTACGTAGATATGGCTTTGGGACAACTTTCGGGACAGTTGGAGGTGAAAGAAGGTCGATCGCGAAAGCTTTGTTTTTACCCCTATGCGAGTTTTATTGGAGAGGAGCTCATATTTTGAGGGGATTCGACTTTTTGGAGCGAAAAACAAAGTTCTAAAGAGAGAAAGTGTGAAGGACAAAACCCTAGCTAGGAGCTATTTGGAGTGGATTTCTCACCATTGAAGCCCAGATTGCATTCCCAGGAGTGAAGATTGACATCCCAGAGCATATTATTCCCATCTTTATGACTTATGAGTATGACTGCTTTGATTTCTGTTTTCCTCTCTCTCTATGGAGTAAACTTTCTCTCACATGGGTATGAAGAACCCTAGTTCCATGTGTTAGGAACCTTGATTGTAATGACTTTTGGATTGATATATTAATTGGTTTTAATCGATTGAAGTGTGTTTATTGAGTCAATTGAATCCTGATCAACTTCTTTTGATTTCTGCTGCAACCTGTGATAGATAGAATCTGAATAGGTTGTTAGAGCTTCTTCAATCGATAGGAGTGAATTGATTGTACGAGAGTCGGTCAATTCACTGTTTTGTACTGGAATCTGCTTCCAGTAATGGAGTTCTGTGTGTATTGGCTTAGTAATCTATCCCGGTGAAGGCTAGTTGCATGCCGGTTAGTCTGTCTGAGAGGGCTTGGTCAACTTAAGAGATTCCAAGCTACTGTCGGATCTTCCGCAGTTTAATCAACAGTAAATCAACCAAAGGAAATTACAACTTGGACCTAACTAAGGAGTTAGGGGGACTCATTCCCGAGTGACTCTTCTCTTGCTTCAGGAAACCAGACAATTTACTGCTTTCTTTCTGCTTTAGTTTAAACTCATTTTCACTAAACTTTCCCGCTAGATAATAGATAATCACGGAGTAGGCGGTACATATGGGCCCTGGGTTGACATTTATTACTTGATTGCATTATACTGCATTTCCATTATGCAATTACACTTGGCCGTAGTTTAGTGTTGTGTTTTAGCGTGTCAGACCTAACTAAGGAGCTAGGGGGACTCATTCCCGAGTGACTCTTCTCTTGCTTCAGAAAACTAGACAATTTACTGGTTTCTTTATGTTTTGGTTTGAATTCAAATTCACTCCCTTAGTCCCGCTAGATAATTGAAGTTCACGGAGTAGGCAGTAGATTTAGACCCCAGGTTGATAAATTAAACTTACCCACTATTCTGAATTTCCAGACTGTGATTATACTTGGTCGTAGCTTGGAGTTGGGTATTAGCGAGTCAGCGATCGAAATTAGTCTAGCACCGGCAACCGAAACCGATACCGTTAGAGCCTTTGGTTAACCGCAAACCGCAACCGGCGATTTCATTTAGGGTTGCAGTTAACCAAAACAGCAGGATCGGGACTGGCAGGCGGGAGACGAGGACGACGGTTTTGCGATGAGGTGAGGACGAAGGCGGCTGTGCGACTACTACGGCTGCGGGGCGATGAAGAAGGTGGAAGACGAAGGCGGCAGGGCGATGACACTGATGAGAACGACTTGGCGAGGACGGCAGGGAGATGACAACGGCTGTGGCACCGGCGAGGAGGGTTCAAACTCGGGAGGAAATCAAAGGAGGGTGCGGCGGGAGTGATTTTTGGGATTAGGATTCCTCTCGAGTTGGAAGTGGGATTTATGGTTTCTCGTGAGACGGCAGGGAGCGAGAGTGTTAGAAACACGATTTTTCGAGTTTATCCTTATTAATTATGGTAGGATAATTATTGTTAGGGTTAGTAGTATTCGAGTCGTATTAGGTTATTTATTAGGTTTATTCCAGTTTCTAGCTATAAATATGCACTTTGGGTCATTTGTACGATTAAGCAGAAATTAATAGAAAAGTTATCCTTCCCCAAAACCCTAATCTCTTCCTCTCTCAAATCTCGTCTATCCTCCTCTCTAGAGGCCTCGGCCGTCCTTTCTGTTCTTCCCCAATTCTGTTCCTAATCCCTAATTCTCTTCTAAATCCCTAAATCGCTACGAGTTCCCAATTTCCCAACACAATCGTTGGAACCCTAAAAATAGGTTTCCTACATCTGGTATCAGAGCCATGGTCGAAGATCAGAGTTCGTCACAACTCTCAACCGGGGACGAACGGGTATATGAAGACATCCAACCCAAGATCATGCGATTGGATCTGCGCAATCGTGTTGTCATATTCTTCACCTTGCCTGGATTTGAGGACCAGCACGTGGAAGTGCAGAGGATTAGATCCAATGTGTTAGCAATAACGGGACAACGTCCATTGGATGATGAACACAGATGGATCCGATTCAAGAAGCTTATTCGGTTCAGAGCAATATACAACCTTGGCGATTATCGCGCTGGCTTCGGAAAATTCAATTTCATCATTCAAGTTCCTAAAACAATCCCACCAGTCGAAGAAGAAGGCGATCCTGCTTCTTCCGTCCTTGTTCCCGACAAAGAGAGGGTAATCGCCCCGGAACAAGAAATTGAAGCCGCAACCACCAAAGTGCCGCCACCATCTGCTGTTGCTGTTGTTATTCCAACAACAACCACAGCTAGCGCAGTACGGGAAGTTGTACTGGAGTCAAGTCTACCATCATCACCCACAGCCGATGCAGCACCAAAGATCACAATTACCTCGGTCGGGACGGAAGAGACGAGCATTGAGAAGTCTGCATCAGATCTGAAAGGGGAGGAGTTAAATCCCAGAACAA